TCAAGAACCACTGGGCCAGAAAAGCTGAAACTTATGTGGAAGCATCCTGGGGTAGTGTAGATTCTAAATTGTAAAAACCATGACCCCCAGGGGTAGGGCGGGGCCACAATAGGGAATCCAAGTTTTACATTGAATTATGTAGAAAATATCTTTAAAAATCTTGTTCTCAAGAACCACTGGGCCAGAAAAGCTGAAACTTATGTGGAAGCATCCTGGGGTAGTGTAGATTCTAAATTGTTCAAATCATGACCCCTGGGGTAGGGCGGGGCCACAATAGGTATTACAAGGGGGAAATCGGGTGAAAAACAGCAAGGCCAAAGTTACTCAGGTGAGCGTTGTGGCCCATGGGCCTCTTGTTCTTTCGGTCATTTTGATTTTACAGTATGTACTATTTAATATGGAGTTGTAAATGGATTGATTTTCATTATTTATATATGTTGACAAATTATGACAGGAATACATGTAGGAAGTCCCAAATAAGGCTCCAGTTAGAACTTTACTTTTTGAATATGACTCTATCAAATTTGTATGAATTCTAATAGTTTAAACTCTGAGAAAATTATGTCTTGTATATACATCTGAGTTATTTTGTTTTGTTTGTTTTTTTATTTGCATCATGAATTCATTATGCCATTCTATTAATTTATTACTTTGGCTCTGTGACAGAATACTTTTTAGCTCACCTGAGCCGAAGGCTCAAGTGAGCTTTTCTGATCACATTTTGTCTGTAGTCCGTCTGTCTGTCCGTCTGTAAACTTTTCACATTTTCGACTTCTTCTCCAGAACTACTGGGCCAATTTCAACCAAACTTGCCACAAAGTATCCTTGGGTGAAGGGGATTCAAATTTGTTCAAATGAAGGGCCACGCCTTCTTCCAAGGGGAGATAATTAAGAATTCGTGAAAAATTAATGGCATCATTAAAAAATCTTCTTCTCAAGAACCACTGTGCTTGAAAATATGAAACTTATGTGGAAGCATCCTCAGGTAATGTAGATTCAAGTTTGTTCAAATCATGACCCCTAGGGGTCAGTGGGGCCACAATGGGCAATCAAAGTTTTACATAGGAATATATAGGAAAAATCTTTAAAAATCTCCTTCTCAAGAACAGCAAAGCCATGATTGGTCATATTTATATGGTAGCATCCTCAGATAGTGTAGATTCAAGTTTGTTCAAATCATGACCCCCAGGGGTCGGGTGGGGCCACAATGGGCGATCAAAGTTTTACATAGGAATATATAGGAAAAATCTTTAAAAATCTTTTTCTCAAGAACAGCAAAGCCATGATTGGTCATATTTATATGATAGCATCCTCAGATAGTGTAGATTCAAGTTTGTTCAAATCATGACCCCCAGGGGTCGGTTGGGGCCACAATGGGCGATCAAAGTTTTACATAGGAATATATAGGAAAAATCTTTAAAAATCTTCTTCTCAAGAACAGCAAAGCCATGATTGGTCATATTTACATGGAAGCATCCTCAGGTAGTGTAGATTCAAGTTTGTTCAAATCATGACCCCCAGGGTCGGGTGGGGCCACAACAGGCAATCAAAGTTTTACATAGGAATATATAGGAAAAATCTTTAAAAATCTTCTTCTCAAGAACAGCAAAGCCATGATTGGTCATATTTACATGGAAGCATCCTCAGATAGTGTACATTCAAATTTGTTCAACTCATGACCCCCAGGGGTCGGATGGGGCCACAATGGGCGATCAAAGTTTTACATAGGAATATATAGGAAAAATCTTTAAAAATCTTCTTCTCAAGAACAGCAAAGCCATGATTGGTCATATTTAAATGGAAGCATCCTCAGATAGTGTAGATTCAAATTTGTTCAATTCATAACACCCCCCCCCCCCAACCCCTGAATTACTTTTATATTTAAACTTTTCAACCTTTCAAGACTCAACTGATTTCTGCTTTTCCTAGCCATAGTGCTCAGGTGAGCGATGTGGCCCCTGGGCCTCTTGTTTTTTTTGGGAAAAAAATTAAATTACAGGTTATATTTAATGAAAATATCCATTTTCACAAAATTAAGTATAAGATATTATATAAAATGTAAATGTAAATTACTTTGAAAAATTGTTACATGTAATTTTCTATCGCACATATGTGACGTATGTATAAAAGAATCACAAGGAAACATGCAGAACGATTTTGTCATAAGCTTGGTTTAATTTGGATGTTTAAAGAATTTTTACCATACTCCAAGGACAAAATAAATAAACAAATAAATGAACAAAATAAGCCATTGCCAACCATAGTAAACAAAAGATGGGAGTTCTATATTGTGTTTTAAAAGAACTGTTACAGGAGAAGGCAGTAATGGGGACTTTATATTCATAGTGCGAAGGGTGTGGAGGTACTCACACTTAGGTAACACGTGAATAAGCATAACTCGAAACAAGTTCACACTGTTCAATTCTGTCATGAAGTGCTGTCACGAACGACCTTTTTGTAGTTACATTAAAATGTAAACATTTATACAAAGGAGATGGTGGATTTAATAATCTGGGAGTACTTGGCTGAGTGTAACATGTGCTAGGGTCTATATTACACATCAGCATATAATAATGCTATCTTGATAGTGTTTCCCATTTTACAAGTATTTTAATCTCAAAATTCTTTTTTTTTTTTTTGAAAAATCTTCAGAGTGCATTCCATGAATAAGTATTATATGTATTTGCTTTTAAATGTTCATAGATCACAAGTCCACCTTGATTTGTGTAGGTGCTGCCAGTAGAACAAACCAGCGGGGATAAACTTTCCTGTATTTATTATTTTTTATTTACTGTGTTGCAATGTTTATTCTCCAACACACAACAGGTTATCTGACATATATTTAGAAGAATAACATGTCAATTTGAATATGAGTCTTCATTTTTGAAAGATATAATAGGAACAATTTTTGTCTAATAATGGTTTTATGGTTTTAATAGGACTACTATGAAAAGAAGGCGGTTCTAGACTATGGAAAGTTTTACAATACTAGTTACCTGGGTGAGGGGAAAAGCAACTACCTGAAGAAGGCCCCCCTAAATCCCCGCCAGGACCACACCTCCCCCCACTTCCACCGGCCAGTCAACTTCTCTTACTCCAGGGACAAACCAGAATTTTTGAAACCCAAGAAAAGTTGGTTTATTTTGTATTCATTTGTTAGACTACTTCTCAGATTAAATGAAAATGTTGTTAGTGTAAGAATACTTTTTAAATTATATGTTTGCATGTATTTAAATTAGCAGACAGATGGTAGCTTGAAACGCACCTAAATATGATTTAATACCGTTGAAATGAGTACATTTAAAAAGGTTTTTTCATATAATTCATAATCATGATAACCTCCGCTAATTTCCTTAAAACTGCAATGAAGATATGTTGTCCAAATTTTGACTTAAGTCACACTGTGTTGTGTCAAGGTTTTGTATGATTTCTCAGTTTCCATAGAAAATAACTCTAAATATCTCAACAGATAAATTTTTTACTATGTGTTAGAATATAAAACCAGTACTTAAAGGTCATTTGATGTGCACTACACCTCAGTCATGGAACAAAACACCTATTAAATTGCCAAGTGTGTACAGTTCAAAACAGTACATTCTGTGTGTATCATTGAAATATGTTTTTCTCTATGGTAAACATCTATCTTTAAGTATTTCATTAAAACTTGAGAGAAAGTAATCTCAGAAATCTACAATTTATTGGGGGACTCTCTTATTTTTATGTTTTTTATGTGTACTAAAAGCCTTTTGTTTATAAAGAAAAAAAAGGAATGTTTTTTAATCTGTGAAAGCCTTGTCACTACTCAGTGTTAGATTTCAACAGATTTTTCTAACCATCTGGTGTGATATATGTTTTACCAACAACTTTAATATCTTTTAACACATTTTTTTTCCAGGTGGTATGGCTGCATTAGGTAAGTGTGATCATTCAGTAAAGCAAAATGTTTCTTCAGTAATCATCCCTTGCAAAACCAAGCCCATATTAATGTTATTGCTTTTTTTTTCACCATCAGCTACTGGCACGAAAGTGGTGGTAAAGCGAACGAGGCGGGTTTCCTCTTCCTCTGAGCTCCGCAACGAGGAGGCTGTGAGGATGAGCATGTTCCCCGCTGCCAAGCCCCCACCCCCCAATGAGATCACCAAGATAGAAAGAGAGGACTGGCCTGGACCTCCATGTCCAGCAGCCATTCTACCAGAAATTTGTAAGATTTCAGAGAAAAAAAGTGATTTAGTACTAGAAAAGCATATGACCCATTTTATCAGGGGTTGTGATCATATTAAACAATTACAAACAAAGAACATGTATCAATAATTTTTTAATTATATAGTGAGACAGCGACGTAAAAGTCGCGGTGAAACAGATGAAGAGGATGAAGAAATGCCCCCAGAGGACCCTAAAATTACCAAAGAAATAGAGGAACTCTCCAAATTTAAAGACCAGTCTGGTATAGGCAAAATTATATATAAAGAACTGGAGGAAAAGCGAGCACATCCTGTGAAGGCTTTAGATCCATGGAAAGCTTCTAGAGTGCCAAGTGCTGATCATGAACCTCGATACAGCACACGGTACCAGTCCCCAATGTTTGCCTGTAAGTGTAAACTAAACAGCACACAAAATCAGTAGCCTTTATGATATTGATTCCTAAAGTTTGTATGGAAGTTTGATTTATGATATACAATGTATGCTTACAAAACAACCCTCAAAATCAGCAAATCTCTCTTTCAGAAAGGGAGTAAACATTACAAAAATTAATATGGCATGTTATTTTCATCAATACTAATTAACTTTGCTCTCAACTTTTCAATTTCTCAACTAACAAACAAGCAGATACTCTGTTTACTATGTTTGACTCATTGTATTATGATAGTTTTTTTTTTTCTTCCTGTCACATGCTCAGTTGACATCTCTATTTTGGTGAATATATGTTCTAGTTTTTTGAAACCTATCTTGGATGACTCACAGCCCAAGGTTACCTACAAGTACTGGTAGTCAGGTACATACAGTTTTATTATTGTACCTACATTTTTTGCTGTTTGACAGATCTATTTGATTTTTGCAGCTCCCTCTAGATTCCTGGATCGACCACGTCGGTATTGGGATGATAGTGATATATCACGAGGCTATAGAACTATGTCCACACATCCAGGTACAGGCATTCTATTGAGGATTTACACCACTTAATCTTTGGCAAATGCAAACTTCATTGATAATGTTGTTGAGATTCAGAGAGGTGTTTTGATGGTTTGCTTTAATGTTAAGAACAATTCTTTCTTACAGTACGAAGAACTAGTTATTCTCTAACTCCAAGGGCTGCCACTCTTCCTGTTTCGGGCACTTTTGGAGGTCATCTTAGCTATGTGAGTAATAAGCGCCATCTTATTTTTTTTTTTTCCACCCACAGGGATAGCCATTAACTTTCAGATTCACTTGCCCTTCGGGCAAGTGATCCCAAACTTTGACTTGTCCGAATGCAAAACTTGGTTGCCCAAAATTAGGAAAGAATTTAAGAAGAAAATTATTAATTACTGTAAAGTTATGATAAGGAAAAAAGTGACCAAATACACTACTGTCAATTTGGAAAGTTGAGCTACTTGAAAAAAAATTGATGCTGCATTTGTAAATAAATGTATACCACTGTACTTGTAAATTTAATCTGTTAACACACACTGCCATGCAGCAATAAACCTCCGTTTCCATTTAATAAAATTCTTATTTCTAAAAATTATTTTCGGTAGGATCCTTCTATGAATCGTGATTTTCAGAGATAACTGTGAAGCACCGCTAAAAGAAGATATTTGATACCAAACATACATCTTCTTGATCAGGATACATCGTGTTACACTGTACTTATATTCTGCGTGTGAATAAATAATCCAATTTCTTAAAAGAAGTTAACAAAATTTTGTTAGACCTAGAACATATTTACTATGAAAGAAAATATTCACCCGATTATTAAATGAAATGTATAATCCAGAAATGCTAGCAAGGTATTCCGAATGCAAAAACATTTTCAGTCAGGTAAGTGGTGGAAATCAAGTGTTCAATTTATGTTTTATTTATAAATTAATGTAACTAAGTAAATATATACATTTGTCTGAGTAAAAATCACTTGCCCGATCGGACAAGTACGTCGACAATTTCACTTGCCCGAACTGAGAATTTACTTGTCCCGGGCAATCGGACAACCGTTAATGTCGATCCCTGACCCATATTTATATAAGATGTAGAAATTCAGAGCATTTCAGTAAGTTTGAAATTAAAATTCAGCTCATAAAATATGATCAACTTGCAAGTGAAATATTAGGTCCCCAGAGTCACTCAAGTGACCTATTGCTCTTTGTTTTTGTCTGCTGTCCTGTGCAAACTTTAGATCATTTTCAACTTCTCTGAAACCACTGAACCAATTTCAACCAATTTTGGCATATAGCATTTATGGGTGAAGAGGAGTAATTTACATGTGAAATATGAAATCCCAAGCATAACTGTAAAGTTATGGCCAAGGTTAAAATTTTTCAAAAGTAGGTCAAACTCCAGGGTCAAAATTGTTGGTACCCAATGGAAGATCTTGCCACAAGGATCATACCAGTGAAATATGATAGCCCTAGCACCCACTGTTCAAAAGTTATGGCCAAATTTAAAGTTTCTCAAAAGTAGGTCTAACTCAAAGGTCAAGGTCAAAGGTTCAAAATTGTTGGTACCTGAAGAAAGTTGGTGTCACAAGGAATACACGTGAAATGTGAAAGCCATAGCTCCAACCATTCAAAACATATGGGCAAGGTTTAAGTTTTTGCGTACAAACAGACAAACCGTATTGATAGCATTGGCAAATAGGGGCACATTTCTGAGTTTTTGCTGATTACCAAATTAATTATTTTGTTAATCCCTGATCATACTTTTTCTCTTGTTTTTCAAGTTTCAGTTTTTTTTGTGTTATCAAATAGTTATTAACCATTCCATAGATCCTTTACAAGGTTGTATTTTACTCAGTGACTGTAAAGGCCCTTGGGCCTCTTGTTTTTGTAAGGACCCAGAAAGGCATGACATATTTATATGAAAAATTTTTGCATATAACTTTCAGAGATACTATGATTTTGAAGATCTGGGATCCAGGAGTCATCCTTCAGCAAGTAAGTCTACAAATCAGACCTAGCAAGTCAGACCCAAAGTCTCAAACTCTTTAATTCAACAAAGTCAAATCCCATAAGTCACAGTAGTCAAAATCCATGAGTCAACTTGGTCAAACTTCATAAGTCACTTAATCAGACCCAGCAAGTCATTTTAGACTCGATTAGTGAACTTAGACCCCAGAGGTCATCTTAGACCCTTTAAGTCAATAAGTCACACAGACCTCATACATGTAAGTAACCTTTGTCAGTTACCCAAAGTCAGTCACTCTTAAGTCAATCTGAGTTTATCACCATTACTCAACATATATTGGACCTCACAAGTCAACCTTGTTGCTTACTCGCATTTTATCTAGTTAAGAGTGTTTGAACATTTCAAACTTCATGCTAACTTAAGTCTTTACATTTATTTTGTGTATCTTATTCTTCCAACTGTTTTCTCTTTGATAACTCAGAGAAATTTAAGTGTGTTAATTGTTGGATATTTACAACTGAATGTGAATTTCACCAGGTGAAAGCTCAAGTGCCTAATATACATGTCAATTTCCTGGACTATTGTGTCTGACGTCAATGGGCTGAGACTATGGAAATTAACATGGAATGCTTCTTATATTTATTTTACAAGACAGAATTTTTAATCTTTATTTACATTTTTATTTGACACATAAATGTAAATATAAGGAATCACTGTTTAGTTTGTTGGGTATACCAGGGACATTAATGACAGTTGGAAACATGGGATAAAAATATGCAAAATGGGTTTCGTCGGTTATGCAAATTATCCCACATTTCCACTGTCAATGATGCCCTGGCATACCCAAAAAACTAGACAGTGATTCCTTAAATCAATATTACATTTTTCTTTTCTTTTTTGACTTTGTTCTTGCTGTTGATTGTTTATATTGGATACAACAGTATATACTTTATTTTCCTGTGGAGGGGGAAAGAGATTGTGGTTCTTTCTACTGAACATCAAAGATGATTATAGCTGTGTCACACCAGCTCTAAATGAATACATGTATACTCATTTTAAAACACTTTAACAATTAATACTTTGAAAGTCTTAATTGGATGTAGAAAAGTTTATAGGTACTATCTTAAATCAGAGCTTTCTTGACCCTTTTCACTTGGGAATTTTTGTTAATTTTGGAGGAAAAAAGAGTCAATTTTCAATAGGAATTTTATTTATTTACTGTGCATTCATTGGATATTAAGCCTTGTTAATTTTTGGACCACATCATTTTTGTTTGTATCTGCATAATTAATTTTTTGTACTGTGTACTTACTTTTTCAGCTTCTTCTTCCACAGTTAATACAGAGGTATGTATTAATTCCATATTTTTACATGGTGTCTGGTATATTGAAAGTTTCTTTCTCATATTATGTTTATGATGAAAAATTAATGCTTTTATTTTGCAGCAAGAATCTTTTGCGACTTCCAGTATATTAGGAGGCCAAGGTATATCTATAATTTCTCTACAGAGAAGTACGTGGCACACAGAAGCTGATCCCCCGGTAAGTGCTCAATGTTCAACAGCCCCCCCCCCCCCTTTACCATATAAAAATTTTGCTTAAATGATGATTTTCTAAAAGTAATCTAAATAAACATGGAAATGCGAACAATTTCAGCATCCCTTGAAGAGCAAAATTTGACAAATATATATGGAAAAATAACTATTAACATGAAAACTTTTAATGGAATAATGAATTAATTCTAGTAAGAGTTATCTCTCTTGTTGGAGGGTTGATGAGCCTAAAAAAAAGTCAGATGTGTTATATGTCTGCATTCTTTCTGTGCTCTGTCTAAACCTTTGAAGTGCAACTATATATGTATGGAAAAGCTGTGCTGTTTAAAAGAATGAAGTTGATGGAAATGAAATTTAATCTTTTTTATAATGAATTGTAGATCTATCCATATGAAAAGCTGAAGATTAGTAATTTCGACTTGCCTAAAGATGTGGATAGAAATATGCTGGAGGTAAGCTCTCATGACTGGTTCACTTACATCAGATAAAAGTACAGAGAACCAGCTTACTTTTGATATGAAATCTTTAGACCCAGGTGAGCTATGTACATTGTCTTGCATTCAGGAGAGCAAAGAAAATGTCAAGCAATTACTTTTACTTTTGAAATGTATATATGTGAATCATAATAATATTGTTTCAAAAAAAAAAATTCAAGTTATGGGAAACAAATTCTGTAATAAAAAATCAAAACTTTTTACTTGTGACCAATAGTCCCATCCTAAAAACTAGTCAATTTGATTGGTTCTCTGTAAAATTTGGATTTTTGGAAAATTGTTTGGTTCTCTGTAAAATTTGGATGTATGGAAAATTGTTTGATGGGTTCTCTGTAAAATTTGAATGTTTGGAAAATTGTTTGATTGATTCTCTGTATAATATGTTTGGAAAATTGTTATACTTCTCCACAAAATCTGTCTACCCTCTGTTATCCAAAGTCAGCCAGGCTACTGAAGTAGGCAGTTAAGACAGACATTTCCTTTATCTCAGACTTTTAAATATCAGTACTTGTAAAAAAAAAATGCCTTCTTATTTTTCCAGATTCATTTACGTCCAGAGGACTTTAATCAACTGTTCAAAATGGATAGGGAACACTTCACAAGACTACCAGAATGGAAGCGTAATGACCTGAAAAGGAAAGCAGACCTATTTTAATTCCTTAGACCAGCATCATCCAAGTGATACAATGCAAGATGTTTTATTAATTTGAAATATGATTTATTTGCTTAAATCATGTTACCTCTGCCTTAGTAGGATATTGTGGACGTGTGGCCGTGCTGCATACAACATATCATTGACTTGTTATGTTAGACCGAGTTCGATTTAGTATCTTTGGAGTTACTACAGATCTGTAATGACAGTTGTTGTGTTATTATGATCTGATTTATTCTTGGCCAAACAACAGAACAATCAAGTTTAGACATGTTAGAACTAAGCTTACTGACTGTAGATGGTTTTCGCTTTATAATGTAGTGTAATTATGATAGTAAATGGGAATTCGTGGTACAGAGTATTGTGCTTAAGCTAATGGAACTACAATTGATGCTGTATTTAACATTGCGATACTGAAATCAAATATGCATATAGTGATTTTTTAGTCTTAGTGATTTTATAAACTGGGTTAGTGATTTTATTAAGTGTTAGTGATTTTTTTTCTTGTTAGTGATCAATAATTATTTTAGAAACATTATTTATGGGTGCTAAGCTTTATACGTGTATTTGCTCATGTGGCAGAAGCAGTCAGCAATTCTTGTCAGCTTTGTATTTTAATTTTTTTGTTATTTTCAAAAAAATGAATATAAGAGTTTTATATCATATCATGGTTTCAGAGTCCATAAAATCTAAACATTATGCATTTATTAGGATTATTTCCAGACAATCTGTGGTATTAAATAATACTTTATTTTGGGTGATGGTAATTGCTTATAAAAAAGAGAAAACATCTTAGTTTTTTTTTTTTTTTTTTTTTTTTGCTACAGAGCATAGATTTTGAGACTTTGTTAGGACTTAATGTGTTTATGGCATTATGATATTGTGTAATTTTTTTTTGAGTGATATTGTGGATGATATTACTGTGATTTATATATACAAATCCTTTTTGATTGCTTACTGGATGCAAGTATCTACTGTATGATGTTAATTCTTCTTAATGCATGGGCTTTATAAATTTCCACATCTACTTGCCTAATGTTTTATTTTCCCTAGTTTAAAGGGTATATCCACAGCGATTGTGATTCCTTGTGTATAAGTGTGTAAGGCAAAACAAATTCATTTTGTTTTAGGATGATGGTTGTTTTTGCAGGTATATGTATCTTGTAAGTTTTAGGCACTTTTTAGTGGTCTGAAAATGGGTAAAAAAGTAAATTCATGGGGCAATATTTTATGTTTAAAACTGTTTTTTGCTTTACATACATGTATATTTTTTTTTCTCTATTGAGTTATTTAATTCCAGTTATTGATGCTTTTACATGGAAAAAATAAATACATGCAGTATTAGGTAATTCATTGGAAATTGTGAATCTTTGATCAGTGTCTCTGATGAATAAAAAAAAACACCCAAATTGTCTGTTCTCTGTGAAGCTTTTTTTCAAACAAAGCTAGTGGCTGTGTATGATGCTTTGAGGTAAATCAGCCATCCAGCTATAGCAAAACTTTTAAAAACAAAACAACAACCCCCCCCCCCCCCCCCCCCCCCCCCCCAGTATTTTACCAATGACAGGGTTTTATATGAGGCCAGTAATATGAGACTTGTGGAACAATGACACAAATACATTTTATGGATATATACATGTATATACTTTTTAGAAATATTTTTTATTGTATGAGACAAAAGACTAAGTAAGATACCGCAACAACAGATTTTGCAGTAAACATTGCCTATATATTGAAGCTTTTCCTGAGAGATATCCTTTGCCCCTTATCTTGCTAACATTTACCTCAAATTTACAACTTTAACGAGGTTCGCTCCTGAGCGTTTGAGCAGATTTATATCTTAACCTATATTTCAAAAATTCTGCATAAAATTTTAATTCTCACAATAAATTTGAATTCTACAATGCCAATTAAACTATATTCAGTTAAAACTTCATGATAAAATTCCATACCAAAAGCATTAAGTGAGGAACTATATTTTGTGGCGGAAGGTTTTTTAGAAGAAAATGATCATTTTTTTCTCTTTCGAAGTATTTAAAGTATGTTAAGTTTGGATTCCTATTTTTACATGCAGTCTGCACACAGAGTTATTTTGTGTAGTGAACTGTTTTATACTGGTCCTAAATTATATATCAAATAAACTGTCATGAATTCTATCATTATGTTTGATAAATATAGCAAATATATTGTGAAAATCAAGAAAAAAAAGTCCATATTTTAAGCTTAAAATTAGCACTATTTTAATAATATCTAACAATTAACATCACATACCCCCACTTTTTATTTTCTTTTCTGAATATATAAAATACTTTTAACTATTCTTTTTAAATTCAGTAAAATGTTATTACTTTCAAATGATTTTTTTGCTTGTTAAATTTTTAATGCCAGTAAAATGAAATTTTTTGAGTGCAAAAAGGTCAAATAATTGAACATGCGGAGTAATTTGAAAAAATTTTCGTTGTCACAAATTTTAATGTGTCTATTCAAGATGAAATAAAACTGTGTTTGTTCCCATAATTTATTTGAATAAAAAAATATTAAAGGAAAAACTTTAAAAATTTATTTATGTGTAAGACGTATTTACAGTGCAAAAAGGTCAAACTAAATGCTCTGTAGCGCCAAAAGAAGTGCATTGACCCACATCTTTTGTTTTGATTTTTAATTAAACTATGTGTATAAATTATAAAAATATACTTGATAAAAAATTCTCATTACTTTTGATGGCAGGATCCAACCTCCTTAACAAAAGTAACCTTTTTGTTAACAGATAATTTAAAAACTGTTGGATTATTTGGTTTTTTGAGTCGGCTCGCAGAGCGACTCATTGGTATCACAGCTGGAAGTGTAAAAATTATCACTCATTCATCTAGGTGATTCATACACCAAATAAGATAGTTTTAGCAAAAAATGCTTTTGTTTGAGTGATTGCTTAAACTTAGAAGGTATAAACAGTATAAAATTTCATATTGTAACATTATTTATGTCTTCAGTTTTTTAAAAGAAAAATTCGATTAAATATCTGTACAATGCATGTACAAATACTGCGTATGAATATACTAGTATGTGCAAGCTTAAGCATGTTAGGCAGATCTAATCTTCCCATCTGAAGTTTATCATTGACCTAGAATACTCCCTAACACACACACCTGCTGTTCTCATTCACTGCAGCTAGTGTACCTGAAAAATCTATTTTTAGAATCCAGGTTTGTAGTGTGAATCATTGACCTAATTACTTTATAATACAGACCACTGCAGCTAGTGTGCTTAATTAATTTTTAGAATCCAGGTTTGCAGTGCTGCTTTCCACAATGCTATATTAAATTATTATATGTTACTTAACATAAACATAATCATAATGCTTAAATTAAAGTAAAATTGTGTGAATACATGTATATAGTCAGGCGGATCTTGAAAAATTTTCCCATAGATATCTAACGTTTGTTTTCCATTACTGGAGGTTGTTTTTAAGTGATTTATCTTACGTTAAAATGTTAATTTTTTTTCCATGATACTTTGTCTCCCTTTTTAACATGATTTTCCCTTTTCCCCTTGTTTTTATTTCACCACTTTGCTGTATTTTTAGCTCACCTGAGCCGAAGGCTCAAGTGAGCTTTTCTGATCACATTTTGTCCGTCGTCCGTCTGTCCGTCTGTCTGTCTGTCTGTCCGTCCGTCTGTAAACTTTTCACATTTTTGACTTCTTCTCAAGAACCACTGGGCCAATTTTGACCCCTGGGGTGAAGGGGAATTTAAATTGTTAAAATGAAGGGCCAAGTCCCCTCACAAGGGGAGATAATCAAGAGAAGACAAAAATAAGGTGGGGTCATTAAAAAATCTTCTTCTCAAGAACCACCGGGCCAGTAAAGCTGAAACTTATATGGAAGCATCCTGGGGTAGTGTAGATTCTAAATTGTTCAAATCATGACCCCCGGGGGTAGGGCGGGGCCACAATGTGGAATCAATGTTTTACATAGAAATATATAGGAAAAATCTTTAAAAATCTTCTTCTCAAGAACCACAGGGCCAGGAAAGCTGAAACTAATGTGGAAGCATCCTGGGGTAGTGTAGATTCTAAATTGTTAAAATCATGACCCCCGGGGGTAGGGCGGGGCCACAATAGGGAATCCAAGTTTTACATTGAAATATATAGAAAAAATCTTTAAAAATCTTCTCAAGAACCATTGGGCCAGAAAAGCTGAAACTAATGTGGAAGCATCTTGGGGTAGTGTAGATTCTAAATTGTTAAAATCATGACCCCAGGGGGTAGGGCGGGGCCACAATGGGGAATCCATGTTTTACATTGAAATATATAGAAAAAATCTTAAAAAATCTTCTTCTCAAGAACCACTGGGCCAGAAAAGCTGAAACTAATGTGGAAGCATCTTGGGGTAGTGTAGATTCTAAATTGTTAAAATCATGACCCCCGGGGGTAGGGCGGGGCCACAATAGGGAATCCAAGTTTCACATTGAAATATATAGAAACAATCTTTAAAAATCTTCTTCTCAAGAACCACAGGGCCAGAAAAGCTGAAACTAATGTAGAAGTATCCTGGGGTAGTGTAGATTCTAAATTGTTAAAAGCATGACCCCCGGGGGTAGGGCGGGGCCACAATAGGGAATCCAAGTTTTACATTGAAATATATAGAAAAAATCTTAAAAAATCTTCTTCTCAAGAACCACTGGGCCAGAAAAGCTGAAACTAATGTAGAAGTATCCTGGGGTAGTGTAGATTCTAAATTGTTAAAATCATGACCCCTGGGATAGGATGGGACCACAATAGGAGTATTACATGGGGGAAAGTCTGGTGAAGCACAGCAGGGCCAAAGTTACTCAGGTGAGCGTTGTGGCCCATGGGCCTCCTGTTTTTCTTAATAGAACACTGAGATCTAGTAAGATTTATGATAATAATAATTAAAAGATACTGAAGAGAAGTTTTTTAAAGAACTCATTTGACTTAAAAAGGTGGAAGATGTTAAAACCCTTCACCTTTATTTACTTTTTGGGGGGCAGGGGGGTAAATTGAGACCCGTTCAAATTTAAACAATTGTATTTGGATCCCTATTCAAAATGTTGTTTTTTTTGTCACATTGTGTATTTACAAACCCATACTTTAATTAAATTTAAAAAATCTCATGTGAGATGGGATTAATTTGAAGCTCTTAATTTTTTAACCAATCATGGAGACCTGATATTCAATTTCTTAAGATGCAATAAAAACTGAATATAAGGCATGGTGACATGTTGTATGAAAAAGCTCAATAAACTCGAGCTAGTCGACTCTCAGGCCCTTTAGGCCTTTGATTTATTTTCTTCAGTTTCTTGCATCCGCGATCACAAATACTATAGTATGTATATCTTTCACAGCAGTCATCCAAAGAGATTCTTTGCTTTATTGGAAGTTGTACTCAACAGTGATATAATAACATTCAATAAAGAGAGAAGAAAGAAAGTCCTTTATACTCAGAATTTTAGGCTGTCAAACCAACATCAACAGAAGAATCTATATATATATAAAGATAGAACATACTAAAGAGGGTCAAAAATAAAAAAAAAAAAAACAGGTTTACCACAGAGACACTCTACCCAAGAGAGGATGAATTTAGCAGATCTTACAATAGCACATACACAAGTTCTCACAGAGCAAAGGAATTCAGCAGAGCTAGGGAAAGCACATATGTCACAGTTCATATTTAATTATCAATAAATATTAATTTTGTAAATAAACTACAGGTACAATGTATATTTGATTAGCGCGCATTGCTAATCGAACATAGCGCTGATTGCGTGAATGAGTGGCATGTGTGAATTTTTTGTTTTGTCACATGATGTTTCTATTTTTAGCTTAGAAACTGACCAGGTATACGACTACGACCGGTGGACCAATGACTGACTACTATTTGAGAATTAATATGCATGTATACTAACTCCGTGCACTACGTAAGCGCCTATCCCGCCAATTCAAATAGGCTATCAGCTTCTACCTTTACGATGTAAGAGATCCAACCCTATATTCAACGTTTTTAGTCATCGAGTTCCACGATACCTTGAGTCCTTGACTAAACTTTACATTATTATATTTTATAATACTTGATACCTGGTAAGATCTATTTCTAATGATGTAAACACTTTTTAAATGAATTACGATAATACGTTACATATCTTTATTAGCGGCGACGTGAATTTGTCATGTGTAATTTGTAACTTTGAGTAATGTGCTGTATTTGTCTCTTGTTAATGTGTGTGTCGGGAGTGTGTTTTCTAGGTTTCTTTTCTTATCCTATTAAAATTTCATCAAATCTTGACGAATCCAGCGTTATTGTCTTTAACGATGACCCTATGACACATATAGAGATTCTCCCAGAGGAAAAGAATTCAGCAGAGCTGGAGATAGCACAAAGACAAGCTATCAGAGCTG